TCTCTCTCTCTCTCTCTCGCTCAGGTGGGTGGCAAACAAAGCTCAGGGAATGGGCCGCTTCCTGCACAGCACTTCGGCCGCAGTCAGATCGAAGAAGTCCTTCTGCTGCGTTCTTCGCATTCCCCTTCTTGCAATGCTGGTGCTGTTTTGACGATCTCGGCACACATCCAGTCCAACCGCGCTTAGTGCAAGTTCACTGTTGGCCTCCCTGTCGGATGGGCCCGGCGGCCTCGCAGGTGATGGCGACATCTATATCGGGTGTCGGGCCAAAACGGGACTGCATAGCCGCCGTAGAGACGAAGGTTCTGCGTTGCTGGCTCTTCCAAGGCAGTGGCAAGACAACATGGCCAGTGGATGTGGGAGCTCCGATCTGTGCACGAACGTGCAGGGAAGCTGCTGAGGGTGTGATATTCCTTGCAAAGCCTGCAGGAAGTACTACCACAAGGGCAGTACTACCTACGAAGGCTCCTGGAAGAAAGACATGCAGGCGCGGCATGGCACGACGACATGCTCTCCATGCTTCTCGTCCCGGCTGGGCCTTCGGCCGAGGATGGCTTTGGGGTGGAGACCTGGGGCGAGGGCGCCCGCTACGAGGCGCCCCCTCGAAGCCCCCGCCCCCTCCCCCTCGGAAAGTTTCGAGGTCCTTTTTGCTGTTTTGGGCGTAACTCTTCTGTTTTTTTCTTGTTTTGCTGCGAGGGAAGCTTCAAGGAAGGGCAGAAAGAAGGCTTCGGCCCAGGGCTCAGGTCTGTTTTTTGAGATGTGTCGTGGAGTCTCGGTGGCGTCTTTTTGAGGCATCTACTTCTGGACCGACGGCTCCAAGTATGAAGGCCGAGAGCTTTCTCCCTCTCTACCTGGGGGGCTGTGGGTTTTTTCGTGGGTGTGTGTATGTGCGGGTGTTGCTGCACGCCTCCGTGTTGGTTCCACGTGCTTGCTACCGACGATGCGCTGAGTCACAGGAGCCTGGCGCGACAACGTGATCGATGGCGCAGGTTGGCGAGTCGTAGGTTTCCTTTGACATTTGCGCATCCAAAAAAGCCCAGAAGCTGGAATTCGATGAACGAGACACAAAAAGAACCTGTGAGGCCTTTACGTCGCTAGCGACGGCCGCACTTTCAAAGGGCAGTGGTCGGACCGGTGACAGTGTGCTCGTGGCTGTGTCTCGAAAGTAAGAAGCCAGCTTGCAGGACTCCATGATCCATGGGGTGGGAAAGTATGCCCCCGGCCAAGTCGCGCCTTGCAGGGTAGAGGTTTGCTCTCAGCTGCACTTTTCTTCGAGGATTGGCCCGGTGGGCGACAGTGCGACGGAGAAACAGCGCGGAGAGGCGAGAGAAGGACCGGAGAAGCGGAGTTTTTGAGTCGAGGTACGGCGGGGAGTACGTGAGCGACCAGAAGCATGGCTTCGGAGTGTTCCGCGCGGTGCCTGGCAGAGCCTTCTTGCGAGAAGTCGCTCCCAGCGGCGGAATTTCGGCTCTGAGGTTGGCCAGATGGTCGAAAGTGCCTCGGCGTCTGCCACGGCGGTCAAAGCGGGGATTTGTTGTTAAGTGAGGGGTTAGTAGTCCGCTCTGCACACCTTAAACCACTCCTTCCAGCGTGTCCTGAATTCAAAGAGGTAAGCACGTGATGCTGACTGGCTCTTCTTGGGCCATCTGAGCTGCCGACTCATCCCAGACTCGCTTTGCTTGACACGCTGAGGTACGAGGGCTATTGGAAGGATGGCAAGCAGCACGGCCTCGGCCAATACACGACAACGGACCGAGTCCGGGGGCGATTCCGGGGCAAATTATCTTCGACTCCGAGACTCCGAGCTGTCTTTAGCTTTTCTGCGACTCCATGGCCTCTCAAAAGCCCCCAAAATCTTCTATGCACGGGCAGGACCCAACACCCCCCGAAGCTTCCCAACGATACGCCAACTCTTGCCAAGCCCTTGGAGAAGCTTGGGAAACTTCAGCGCAAGAGGCAGCTTTTGGAATTGGAAGTGGTGGCAGTTTTCCGGGGGGGGGGGGGGGGACTTCAATACGACATTTTCAAATGCCCTTTCGAAGCTTTCCGAGAGCTGCAGCGGCCTTCGAGAGAGGACGGTGTCACCAGAATGGCACGCTGGGAGAATGGACGGCGTGTGGAGGCCCTGCTGCTTCAGTGCAGTCTCCGGTGACCTTGGGGGACTCTGGCAGGTCATGTGATGTCTGCCGACGGTGGGCAGATGAGAGTGAAATGCCAACAGGCGACAAGCGACAGGTTTGTGCCGCTTGGGACGGAGGTGTTTGTGTCATCTCAGCAAAGCTGAGCATGGCTGCGATTCTAGTGATTCTAGTGATTCTGATTCCAGCGTCAGAAAACGGTCCCTGCGCGAACAGCAGGTGGAGTAGCTTCGGAGCACCTTAAGGCCCTATAGGTGAACACCGGCGCAGTTTCTTCTTCGACAACATCTCATGTCGTTTCAGTTGGC